CCGCCGCTGCAGCGGCGGCGGCCGCGGCGGCGCCATTGGCTGGGGGCAAGGGCGCGGCAGCTGCAGCAGCAAAGGCAGCCGCGGCAGCTGCTTCAGCGGCTGCGGCCTCCGCCGCAGGGGCCGTGGGTGCAGGTGGCAAGGCTGGTGGCACTACTGCAAAGGCTGCCGCTGGCGTGACGCCGGCTCCGGCGGCTCCAGCCGCCCCCGCGCCTGGCCCCACTGCCGCGCCCGCCAACCCCGCCAGCAGCGCTGCTGCTGCCGCCGCGGCCGCCGCGGAGACCGCGGCTGCGGCCGCGGCGGCAGCCGCTCAGCTGCAGGCGGCGGTGGAGCTGCAGCTGGGGGGCCTGGGGCAGCGGCTGGCCCTGGTGGCTTTCAAGGCGTCCGACAGGCTGTCGCTGCTGGCTGAGGCGCATGCCATCGCGCACGCGGCGATGGCGGAGTGGCTGAGGGCGCGATACGCGGGGGAGTGCAGCGCGGTGGCGGCGCTCGACGGGGTCGTGAGGGCGGCGGCGGCGGAGGGGCGGCAGCTGCCGTTTGACCTGCGACTGGAGGTAAGTGAGAGGGAGGGGCAGGGGAGCGCGGTCTGAGGAGGATGCGAAGAGCAAGATGCGTGGGATGACACCTTGCGTTGGCGGGGCGGTGCTTGCACAAAAAAGGGGCTTGGAGGGAACTGGTGTGCAAGGAATTGGACGCTGCCGAGTGTGTTGCGTGCCTCAACGTGGCAGGGCGGCTGGGCGTTAAAGCCAGCCCAAGTCTGACAGCGGTGGCGTGTGGTTGATGCGCACCGCGCGACAACCAACGTCTGCGTGGCCGCACGTCACCCCCCAATTGGTCCTCCACAGGGTGACGTGCTGGTCATCGATGAGTCACACCCCCTGTTGGCGCCCCCGCCCCCGCCGCCAGCCCCGGCGCCCCGGCGCCCCTCGCCGCCCCCCGGCGTGCTGACGCTCCCGCAGCTGCAGGCGGCGGCGGACGCGCTGGCGGCCGCGGCCGGCGCGGCGCGGGTGGGGGCGGGCGGGTACATGGCGGTGCAGCAGGCTGCTGATGTCATGCTGGCCCTGTCTGCGCAGGGTGAGTTCGTTGGCGCCTGGCAAGCCGGTCAGCTTGCGTTGGATACTGTTGATATGCTGTCATTGGTGTGTTGCTGGCCTCATGCGACACCTTTTTGAGTCCACCGGGTGCAGGAGCTGGCCGTGGCAAGGGGGCTGACGGGGAGGGGATGGGGGTTTTGCGCCGCGGTGCAACAAGCTGAATTGCAACAATGCTGACGTACCAACGCACACACACAGGCGTCCTGCCGAGGGAGTGGGCGCCCATCGAGCCGTTGCGCATGCTGGTCGCGGTCTCCCAGTTTGACGCCGCGCAGTGCGGCCACGTCGACTGGCGCGAGCTCGCGTGCTCGCTGCTCGCCGCCGCGCACCCCGCCGTGCATACGGCGCCGCCGGCGGCGGTCGCGCGCGCGGCGTGGGTGCTTGCGGCTGCGGACGGCGATGCGGACGGCTGGCTGACTGCGGAGGAGTGGGCCGGTCTGGACCTATGGTTCTCCGAGCCCACCCCTGCTGAGCTCGACGCCGCCGACGCGGCGGCCGCGGCCCCATTGCAGGCGTTGGGCCAGGCGCAGGCGGACACGGCGCCGGCGCTGAAGCGGCTGCTGTGGTCGATGTTTGCGGCGGCGCCGCCCGCTCAGCAGCAGCAGCAGCAGCAACAGCAGCAACAGCAGCAGCAGCAGCAGCAGCAGCAGCAGCAGCAGCAGCAGCAGCAGCAGCAGCAGCAGCAGCAGCAGGTGGATGAGAGCGTCGGCACAACTGTCCAGCAGCAGCTCAGGCTGCCATGGGAGTCGATGCTGCTGTACCTGTGCCCTGACAGGGACCTCGGCCGCGGGGTGCACAAGGCACTCGCCGCCATCACACGCGACGCCGCACAGGGCGCCCGCGCCTCGGCCCCTCACGTCGCGCGCGTGTGCTGGCCGCTGTTGGGGCCGGAGGCCGCCGCGCCGCTGCAGGGGGCGCCGATTGGCCCGTCTGAGTTGGCGGCGGCGGTGCGGGCGGCGGAGGAGGCCGCGGCGGGGCAGGCGGGCGCGTCGGCGACGCAGGGGGCTTGGGCGGCACCGGCGGCAGGCAGGAGCGCCAGTGGTGGCGAGGGGCCCCAGGGCGGGGTGCGCGCCCAGGACCTGCTTACCAGCCCCGCGTTTGAGGGTGTGGCGCGCCTGCTGCTGCGGCGCTACCGGCTGACGGACCTTTACATCAGCTGTCGTGTCTAGGCCGCAGCTGTACCCCAGCTCAAATGACTTGGCCGCAGGCGGTGGCGTTTCTGCATCCGAGTGTGTGCGGTCGCAACCGCACCGCTGATGGTCCTGATGGGGTGCAAGCACTGGTAAAGCACATGCTGACAGGCTGTGACGTCATCAACTCGTCGAATATACAAGTGTTACTCTGGTGTAGCGTCGACCAGGTTATTGGGGGGCAGACGGCTTGCCGTGCCGCCGCCAGCTAGCAGTGCCATAAGCTGATCAGGATCCCGCGCAGCCGCCCCAAGCAAGTGTGACCACCTGCTCGCTGGCAGCGCAGCTGCTACGTAGCCGCGCAAGGAGCTGGCAAGAGCACATCTTGCTCGCACTTGCTTCCCTGCATTCGTCCTTCAACAAACGCTCGCGTCCGTCCCGAAATGAAATCGCGTGCCAACCGCTTGGATTGCAACTGCAGGGCCCTAGGTCGCCCGCCAGGCGCCGCGCACACACGGCGCCCAGGGCGGGCGCCTGCACAAAGCTCGGCCCTGAATTCTGACAGCCCCCAGACCCTAGCCCGCCGCGCAGCCAGCCAGAGTCCGGCCTCGGGACAGCCGGCGCAACCGCAGAGCGCGCTGCCGCCACCAGACAAGCATGCGTATGCACCACCCTCCTGCAGCACAAACTGCAGCAAAAGCCACGCCACCCCGATCACCATCCATGGAAGCAGTGCGGGACAAGCCAGGGGTGTCCGAAAGGGTGATCGCAGCGCGAAGCATGCCGGCGGCGTTGATGGCAGCCAACAGCTGCGCGCGGTGCTCACTGGCCTGCCGTCGACGGGCTGTCTACACACAGCGGGCAGCATCAACTTTGAAAGGCCGGCTCCCTTGGGGCCCCGCGCGTGTGGGTTGGTTCAAAATGGTGCTCAAGAGCTGAGCAGCAAGAATCAAAGGTTTTGCGGTGTCACATGGCTGATGCAAGCGAAATGTGGCCAGCTCAGGGCACTGGGGGAACGCAAGCACGTCCCACCGCCCGGCCACGGCATGTCAATAGCAACGAACAGCAGCGTGTGGCTTGCCACGCTGCCGGGTTTGTTTGAGGTGCGCCAACGCAGCCCTCTGGCGCCAGAGCCGCGCCTCCAAGGACGCTGCTGCCAGTGCAAGCTGCAACACCTGCTTGAACCCCAAGGACCCCTGCCGGCAAAAAAATGAAATGCAAACGCGCCCTGGCATGCAGCTCGCGCCACGCGCCACTCGACTCCTGCACCCAGCCCCGGGCGGCCGCGGGTCCCGACAGGGGGGCCGCGGGCCTCACCGGGCGCGCCTTGCGTGGGCATGTGCCCGGTTCGCTCCGCTGCCCCGCGCCAGGCACCCGCGAGGCCGGGGCGAGAGAGCCCCCGGCCCGCGTTCCCTCCTCCCCTCAGGGGGCCTTGGCGACCGCGCCCTCCACGTCCTTGGCCGCGGCCGCCTCGCCGCCCTCCACCGCGTGCGCGGCCGGGTCGTCCCACCCCTTGGACTGCGTCTCGCGGGTCCAGCCCTGGGAGGCGGTGACGTGGCTCATCCCCGGGACCCTCATGAGCACGCCGCTGATGCCCGGCCCGTGGATGCCGCGGGCGCGCAGCAGGCTGGCGGCGGCGCACCAGAGGACGTCCCCCAGGGTGGAGGCGACGAGGGCTGTGAGGAAGGCGCGCCAGTCGTAGCCGTTGGTGAACCAGGACCAGGTGGCGCCGGCCGCGAAGGAGCCGGCCACGTCGGAGGGGTTCCAGTTGATGCCGATGCCCAGGGCGGTGAGCTGCTCGGTTGAAAGGAGGGTGGGGGAGCGAGGGGCGGGTGGAGGGGTTGGCGAGCGGTGGCCTGGGTGTTTAAACGGTGGTGCAGGGGATGGCTGAAGGGGGCTCGCGGCTTGGCCTTTGAGCGCGTGGCCCCACTGTGAGGGAGTGAGGGGAACCTCCCAAGGTGCGGCGGGCGGCAACCGACGCTCGATGCGTTGTGGAAAGCCCCATGTTTGACGAGGGTTTTCCACTCCTCGCAGCGCTGGCGGTGCCTCCTCCTTGCCATACCAGGGCCCACAACCCCATCCGTCTATCCCAACCGCCTGGCCCCCCTTGTCATCCGCGCGCGCACCGTCAGCACGCCGGTGGCGATGCCGAAGACGCATCCTGTCTCGGTGAAGAAGGTGTTGGCGCGGCGGATGAGGCCGAGGGCCACGGGGATGGCGGCGCAGCAGCACAGCAGGTTGGTGACGAGGAAGAGTGAGAGGACGTCGAACTTCTTGATGGCCAGGATCATGAGGGGCACGTTGAGCACAATGACCATGGAGCTGGGGGTTTAAGGGTTTTTTTGGGGGGGGGGGGTGGGTAATGTAAGGGGTATGTTTGGGGGTGTTCGTGTCGGAGAGTCAATGCAGAGCCGAGGGCGTGGCGTGGGAGGAAGATGGTGGCGGGGATGCGCAGCAGAGAGGGCGGCGGAGAGGAAGAAGGCACATGAGGCTTGTGAGGTGCGAGGCTTGAGGGCGATTGCCGCTGGCAGGGCGCACCAGCCACAGGACCACAGATG